AGAAGAAGCCCATGACACGAAATTCTTGCCCAGCTGCCTGACTTCCTGGGGCTCCAGAACAGTGTGGGGAGCAAGGTTATAGATCCCAGAACTTGCAGCTTTTATGGGCAGAAGAAGCCCATGACACGAAATTCTTGCCCAGCTGCCTGACTTCCTGGGGTCCTGAGCTGGTGAAGCTCAGCCTCTGGACTCTGAGTTGACCAGTTCCCAGTCCCTTCTCTCAGCGTCCTCGTCAGACCTGGCCCTGTGTTGGAGAATGAGCACTGCCAGGGAGTCCGTGCACACGGCTTGATTCCTTTCCAGGTGTGTGACTCCAGAAAAGCCACCTAACCTAGCCTTTGTTGCCTGATCCATAGCAAGAGGGTGACGCTAATATCTCCCTCGTGAGCTACTGTAAGGATGAAATAAGATAGCACAGGTGAGGGCCAGGTATTTAGCTCAGTGGTTCCGCTGCCTGCCTCAAAAGCACAAGGACCCAAGTTCGATCCCCGATACCAAAATAATAATAATAATAACAATAACAATAATAATAATAACAATAATAATGAGATAGCATAGGCAAATCTCACTTTTCGAGCCTCTGGACACAATGTGCATGTTTCTCCCTTCTCGCACCTCTTCTCTGGGCTGGAAAACTGCCCCGGTTTATCTTCTCATCCCCCAGGTTCCCTGAAGTCCTTCTGTTGAGAGCTTCCACACACACCTAAGGCCCAATTCCCTCATTCAGAGAGACTCACAGTGCCTAGATTATTTTTAATACTAAGGGTTGAATGCAGAGCCTTTGCACAGAGCACCATCCCCAGCACTTTTCTTATTTTGAAACAAGGTCTAAGTGGCCAAACTGTTCAGGTTGGGTTCAGACTTTCAATCCTCCTACCTCAGCCTGCCAGAGTGCTGGGACTACAGGCCGGTACCACAAGCCCAGCACTGGGATTTCCTTTATATCACACTCAGCCAAACTGGGTTCTGCAGATGGTTACTTCGCTGCCAGCCTGCTGTGAGGGGAGAGAGCTCACCTATCTCATTCAGGCTTTGTGTCCAACTAGACTCACAGCTGGTACAGAGCAGCACTCGGTGCTACTGAGCAGATGCACGAAACAAATGAAAAGTGGGAACTCAGGATGGGGTAGGCACTGCTAGCACTGTACTGAGCCCACTATTTACTAGGTGTGTGCCTTCATTGCTTCACCTGCAAAACAGAAAGGAGGAATATTCAAGACCACCTCCAAAATCCAGTGTTGACCGAATGTAGATAAAATGTCTCCTGGAGAGATGGATCGGGTGGCAGTCACTATTCTAATTCCAGGCAACGCTGAACCAGGGCCTCTGCGTCTGCACCCAAAGGGCTATTTCCAAAGGGGAGCAGCAGACTGTGGCCTCCTGCCCAGGAAGGGCTCGTGGGGGAAGCCTGGCCAGTTGTGCCAGGCCTGCTCCTGCCGCAGCAGATCTGCTCTCCTGCTCCTGACCCGAGTAGAAAAACAGAGAGGAAAATGTTGCCAGCGGCCTTGCGCAGATTCATCATTTTGAATCCTCACTCTTAACATATGTTTTCGATCCATGCAAAACATGGATTTCTGGTTTCCATTACCTTTGTTTCATTTTAGAATATAATGTTTTTTATAGCCTGGGGAAGGGAGGGCAAAAGCAAGCAAGCGAGCAAGCGAGCAAGGGAGCGTGTGAGTTTGGATGATGCTTTTTTCACCAGAAGAAAGAAGGAAGAGGAAGCCAAGAAACCAGAGACGGCAGGCCTGCCATGGGCTCCTTCCGCTCAACCACTGCTTCCCCAGCATTTATTGAGCACCGACTATATGCATGCAGTAGACAGGCTATGGCAAATGCCAAGGCGTGCTCCCTGCAACTGAGTAATTCAAGGCTCAGGAAGAAGATAAAGTGTGGCTCACAGCACACAATCCAAGGCAGATTTTTCTTCTGGAAAGGAAGAGAAGGAAACAGAGAAGGGAAGGAAGGAAAAGAAGAAGGAAGGAAGGAAGGAAGGAAGGAAGGAAGGAAGGAAGGAAGGAAGAAAGGAAGGAAGGGAGGGAGGAAGCAAGCGTGTCCATCACTTCCTTTCTGCCAGGCACTGCAGTCTTTAATGCTTATATTTTATTTATTTCTCATAACAGCCCTAGAAAGGAAGACCATTTACCATTTCACGAGTGAGAACACAGAGACAGGTGGTGTCCTAGGTCTCACGGTGACAGAGCACCAGCCACCTCGCCTGCCTCAGCACACAGAGCAGGTGCCAACTCTGCTGAAAGTCGGGACTGCACCCCCTGTGCCCTCAAGAGAGCCCATGGGCCCCGTAACTCCACCAGCTCCTCCAAGGCTTCTGGAACCATGGCCAGTTAAAGCCACCGGCCCTTAGAGCGGATGCGCTCAACCCTGCTCCTGGAGAAGCAGGCTCTGCAGCAGGTGGGGCAGGATTGTTCCTTGGAGAGCCGGGCCCGGTCCTCCCCTCCGGAGCTGCAGGGAAATCAGCAGTGCCAATAGCTTTGGCATTTAATTGCTTCCAGACCCCGGAAAACTGCAACCCACTCACCCCACCCCAGCCCATCCCTGCTAAAGCAGTCCCAGGTCGGCTGAGCAGAAAGGTTTGTTTTGGCAGAAAGCTGGGTGCTCTCCAGCTCGATAATCGCCTGTGTTAACACACCATTATGTGTGTCGTTAACAGACTTGGCAACTGGGATTTGGCTTTCTTTATTTTTTGTTCTTTACATTTTCTTTTTCATTTTCTAAAAATAGAAAAACAAAATGCAACCCCATGTGTGAATCAGAAACACCAAGACTCCCAGCCACACAGGTGCTCCGTGACGCTGGCTGAAGAGAAGGCTTCGTCGGAGAGCCATCCCTCTGCCAGGAAGTCCCTCGCAGTTTTGTCCCTGAAGGGGGCTCAGTCGGGCACCACACACAGGGCCTGCTGCTCCTGAAGGGCACCGCACACCCAGCCCGTCCTCCAACAGCACCGCAGCACCTCCACGGCACCAGCTAGCAAGGGCGTGGAAGGGTCAGGGCTGGGGAGTCACACGGGCCCCGAAGGAAGACCAGCTTCACTACGTCGTGGTTTGAGGGAACCTGACCCTGAGATTTAACCAGTTTCTTTCACAAAGAGCTCCATACAACGCTTCCCTCCATTTACCTTGCCACGCTCAGCAATTCCTCGAAACAAAGACTGGAATCCCAGTATTCAGCAATGGAATGTATTCCGAATATAATGATAAATCAGACACATGCCCTGTCTTCCAAAAGCTTAGCATTTCATAGAGAGCTAGAAACACAGAAATCGAGTCCTACCACTGTCGCACAGGTACAGATTAAGCAGTTCTCTCAATTCTAATGTCCTCACCCTGGTCCAAGCCAGCCGTGCTCTCATCTTGATCCCTGCGATGCCCTTCCCACTGGCCTCCTGGCTCCCTCTCCTGCTCCTCCAGGGCCTGTTCTTGGCAGAGCCACCAGCAGCAAACCCTCCTCTGATCACGTAGCCCTCCCGCCCCATGCCCCAGCAGCTTCCCAGGAAACGGGGGAATCTAAAGTTGACCTAGGACCCCAGCTGTCTCCTCCCTCACCCTCTCTCTGCTGAAGCCACTCCAGGCTGCTTGTTCTCACTGAAGCAACCTACAAAGCTCTCACTTCCGAGTCTGTTCTCGCTCCTAGAATTGTGATGTCCAGACATCTGGAGCACCTTCCCTCACCCACTCCATTCTCTGCTCCGGTGTCACCTCCTCAGACAGGCACCCAATCCATTTCCTGCTAGTGCCTTTGCTTTGCTTTATTTTCATCCATATACTTAGCACGCTCTAAACCATATTGTGCATCTGTTTGTGTATTTTTGACCTCTCTCACCAGAATATAAACTCCCAAGGAACAGAGACTTTGGAACAATGCCCTGCATGTACTATGTGCTCAGTAAATATTTATTGGGTGGGGAAATGAGTGGAGAAATGAGCACATGTTGTAGGCCAGATGCTGTGCTCAGCCGAGCGCTTCCGTCCTGGTCTGCTTGGGGAACTGGGCGGAAAGGAATTCAGTAGGAGCCCTGAGAAAGTGCCTGAGCCCTCTATGGAAAATCAGAGCTGGTGCACCCCTTTAAAAAGAAATGATTTCTAAGCAGAGTCTTGAAAGGTGACCTGGAATAGCAAGATGAGATGAAGAAGCTAGCATTCTAGGGAGAGGAAGCTATTACAAAAGGCACAGGGAAAAACAATTTCTTTTATGTACTTTGAGAACCACAAGCATTCATCTTTACCTGCCAGAGATACTGGCTCTTAACTCATCCACTGTGGGACGCTATTACAGGACAGTGACACACATTCCTTCTGGCCACTGAGCAAGGAAAAGATGTGGGGAGGCATGAAGCATGAGTTAGCTAGTAAAACAATAACAATAAAAATTAGAACAAAACATTAAACATCTTCTAAAGAGGGTAGACTGTTCAACGGAAGAGCGACCTTTTTGATCTGCTAAGAATTTCTGCAACTTTGATTACACAGATTTGAGGACAAGAGCTAGGGAGAATTGCTTTCCCTGAATGATAGAAGAAAAGAATCTGAGAGTTGCTGGAGATTCTCAGTGGGGGAAAAAAAATAGGAGCAAAGGAAAGAAGAAAAGCTGGCAAAATAAGGTGGTGCCAGGCACGGAGGAGGGTAAACTTCCAATGAGAAAAGCCCGGTTGCAAAGGAGTTTTGTTTTGTTTTGTTTTGCACTGTTTTGTTTCGTTTTGTTTCTGGGTGCTGGAGATTGAACCCAGAGCCTCACGATGCTAAGCGGGCACCCTCCAGCAAGCTACGTGCCCAGCCCTGCAAAGGAGCTTTCAAAAACAGGAGTATGTGATTTATTATTTTTAGTTTGTTAATTAATGGGTTTATTATTTTAAGTTTGTTAATTAATGGGTTTATTATTTTAAGTTTGTTAATTAACTCTGGCTGTGATGGAGTCACTGGTTTGAAGTGGCCCTCCCACCACTAAAACAAAACAAATGCACAGCTGGACAAAATAGAGAAAGGCGACCATTTGTGGCACTGGACAACAGGCAGCACGAACTTCTCATCCTTCAGAGGAGGTGAGCTCTCAAGGTAAGCCCCGTGGTCACCCCAGCTCCCCTCCACCGGGAGTAATTTCCTCAGTGCAGGGCAGAGAGCTTAAGTCTGCACAAAGCTCACTAGTTCTGGAGAGCCAAAGAGGCAGAGCCACTGAAGAGGCTAGAATCTGTGGAGCAGGGTGGCAGAGAAGAGTGAGCTGTGTACAGGGGTCCCCAGAAGCCTGTGTCGGGACCTCAAGGGGTCCTCAGTGGAGAGAGAGGTTACACAGGCTCAGGGTGAATGCACACAAGCTAATAATCATAAAGCAGCTACAACAGTGTAGAGAACAGAGATTCTAGAAGTCAAGCCGTGCCGGAGGACAGAAGAGATACAGCCCAGTAAGAGTGAGAGATTTGGTTCACATGTTCCCGCATCGCCAGCTAAGACACCAAGACGCTGTGAACCTAAAGACCACACCCTAGGGCCAGACACACTCCTGAGCACTTGGAATAGAACTAGTGGAACTAAGGAAGTGATTCTTAAGATTTATTTCATTTATGCAACATGAATTTAAATCTAAATGGCTACATGTGGCTACCATATTGTACCATGTAGCTTTAGATCCATCTTTAAAAAAAAATTCACAAGAAACGTGATTTTGGATTGATCTCATTAAATTAAAAGGACATAGGGAAGACACTAGGCTTCTCACAGATGCTGCCTATAAAAGCATAAAAGCAAACCCACAAAAACTCACAGTGATAAGACGGTAACCATATCCCATACTGCCTAGTAGAATAAAAATTAAGTTTTCAGAGGAAGAAAATAGACCTCAAGGCCTCTATAAAAATCATGAACATTATCTGGTACATCATCAAAAATTACTAGATATACAAAGAATATAAAAATGTGATCCATACTCAAGAGACCAATCCCAAGATAACTCAGATATTAGATTCAGCACTTGCATTAAAGTGATGATTATATTGTTTTTTTAAGGAATTATATAGGAAGATGCTCTTAATAAGTAAACTAATAGGAGAACCCAGCAGAAATATTGAAACTGTTTGAAAACACTAAAATTTAAAAGTACTATAACTAAAATTTTTTAAATCAAATGTACTTATGGACTTAAAAGATTGGGGGGGGGAAGATTAGGGAAGCAAGAGAATAGTAAACTTGAAGATAAATCAATGAAAAATCAGTCAAACTGAAGGAAAGAAAAAGAGAACAAAGAGAAATGAAAAAAAATAAATCAGGGCTCTCAGAAGCACTATCCTATTAAGTCTAAATATATTACCAAAAATGAAAATTGTCAGATATGGAACAACCACTAAAAAGAAACAAAAAGAAAAAAAAAAACAAAGAACCAAGCTATCTTATGTAAAGGTACAAATTCCCCAGGGGAGTATCATCATACTGTATACCTAAAACATACCAATAAAATGAACGAGTTTTTGAAGAGTGACAAAAAGAAGTAAGACAGAGAAGCCAAGCAAAGAGGCAAAATGGAACTCCAGAAATAAATATGATTCAGAAAGGAAAAGACCTTCCGAGGAGAAAAGGCAGCAGTAAGTGAAAACAAACAGCAAGGTGCAGACCTATGCCAAAACCACGTGGGTAATCATATTAAATGTAAAGAGGCTGAAATTCCTCAACAACAGAAAGAGAAAAAGAATACAACAAGCAGGGTGGGGAGAAAGAAAAAAAAAAGATTCAGGAAAATTACATCTATGCAAGATGAACTTTAAATTTTAAAACACAAATATGTTGAAAGTAAAAAGGTGAGGAAACAGTATGGTGTAGAACTGTGGAAGCCCAGACCCATAGTGCAACTCACTTACAGACAGAGCTGCCGGGAGTACGACAGGATAAATGAGATCATAAGGTCCCCAATAGGAGCGAGGTGCTTCTGAAGAGAGGAAGAAACACTGAGTTTGATCCCAGAAGACGGGCTAAATAAGGACATGGAAAGAACGAGAGGTTTCATCACAAAACTTCCCTGATAGCACCTCAATCTTTAGCCAATCAGCCTCCGGAACTGGGAGAAAACAAATGTTGTTTTCAAGGCATCTAGCCTGTGAATTTTTGTGTTTGCTTGCTTTTTTTGGTTTGTTTTATTTTGCACTGTTTGTTTGTTTGTTTGTTTGTTTGTTTTTGCCACCAGGGATTGAAAACTGACTGGGCCTTGACAATGAGTTAAATTCCCAGCCCTTTTTATTTTTCATCTTGAGATGGGATCTCACTGAATTACCTAGCCTGAGTTCAAGCTTGCAATCTTTCTGATTCAGCCTCTCAGAGCTGGGATTACAGGAATGTGTCACCACACCTGGCTCCATTCATCCCCTGGGTCCTCACTCCAGTAGAAATGCCAGGCAGCAAGATGGTTGTTTTTTTCACTGCTGGGTCTGGTGACTAGAGCAGCCCTAACATGTGATCCGTACTGGATCTGGGAGAAAGGAAGGTAAGGGGAAAGTAACAGGAAGCGTTTTCACAGTCCTGACTTGTGGAAAACCTTCAATAAATGGAAGATTTAAAAAAA